GAACGAAACTAAAAAGTATAGGTATTTAATTCTTGTTCCTGAAATATGTAACATTTCTGTGGCTGTGAATGACATAATGGATTAGATAGAAAAAAATGAACATTTTCTATACAAATAGGGAGGAATATTTGAAGGGTAATTATGTTCTAAAATACACTTTTCCACAGAGAAGTGCACCTGTAAGTTCAAAACACGCCAAAGCCTTAATTGCTCTAAGTTGTGATCTTGGCGTAGGATGTGTTCAGAGTTCCTCGTGAACGAATACATCTTAACCCTAAAACGACCATAACGTATTATTATATATTTACTTATAAATTGTTATATATACATATTTATTAACTTACTATTATTCTACAGCATCAATAATAAAGACGGCCAGTTCTTACTGTCGATACGTGTTTAATATAATCAAATTAATATTTTACTAATTACTTGAAAACACTTAATTCTTTTTTGGGTACCCTTCAACATTCAGTTATTGATTTATTGACACAAAATAGTAATAGTAATAGTAATAATAATAATAATAATAATAATAATAATAATAATAATAATAATAATAATAATGAAGTCGATCCGATGGTAGAGATCGCTAAGGCAGTAGTGCCGAAGCGGTCGCGGACCCGCCTCGGGCATGGTTGTGCTGTGTGTATCTCTACATGTTTGTGTGTTTCTATTTCATCATTCATCATCATCGTTATAATTTCGCCCCATCCCCCAGCGCTAGCTACCCTGGGGTGTAAAATTGGAATCAGCGTTAATGTGCTGATCCCCGCAATAGAAAGTAACATGCACCTATCCCGATATTCAAGACTGAGAACTGGAGGGATGAACTAATCTTTTGATTGTTTTGGTAACTGTTTCTGTAACACAACATTCCTGTGCTATAACAGCGAACTACTTGTTTATATGCTTTTGAATGCGCAAATGTACTGTTATTTCAAAACGACTACAACTTAATATTCTTCTGTTAATGAGTTTTCTCTTTCCTCAGTTCCATACGAAACGGTAATTAATTTACATTCGCTAAGATTTAATATGGCGTGTGATCACGGTAGTAAATTATCCTATTTCTCTCTCTATTTTATAAGTATATCGACTAGATCCAGAAACTGCTGGAAGTACTAAGAAGCAACTTGAGCAATAGATCATATGCAGGGGAAGCTCTATTATTGCTGTTCGTAACTTCTTTAGCGTTTCCTTATGACTCCTACCCTACTCAGGGCATGCATGACCAATCCATTACTTTGACTAACTGTGCATATTATTTATGACTCGCTAAAGAATGTTAAATTCCGCCTCCGTTGCATTGCATCAGAATTCACGTCGTAAATGCAGATCGGGTTTGCATTCTATTAGAAATCATTGATCATCATTACCTTTCTATGCGATTTCTTGAAAAGTTAATGTTATTTGCTCCAGTGACATTATTTGTGTTTGTGTCGAAATGACAACAAGAAAGATGATCAAAAACGTGTTACAGCAATTTCAATGTGTGAAAATAACATAGAATAATTGAAAATATATTTGAAAATAAAAATAAAAGTGAATAACTTTCAATTTTAAGTTGATAAAATATTGGAAGCTCCTTTTATTGCTGTATTGATAACGCGTCAGCAAGTTTTCTTGGTTTGCATATTTTGTGGTTCATCAGAAGATACAATTTGCAATTCTTTGTTACCGAGATTTCCTTAGAGGTTTATAACGAAAAAAGTACACAGAAGACAAAAGGATAATAATGTATAAATGAGTAGCTGTAGCACTTCTTTCCTTTGTCTCTTCAAACCCCGTTTACTCTTATCCGACTTTCTAATTTCAATAATAGTTTTAGTTTCTTTGTGTTAATGTTTAATAAGATACAAAGATAATCTTCTCCTCTTAAACATTTGCTGGAATATATTCCAATTTCTTTTATCGTAGATGGATGACTTGTCTACTTATCCGTTTTTATCTCGAACTGAAAATCTTTAATTTGTTTGCGGATTTAAAAAAGTCTTCTTTCTGCTGCTTGTGTCAGTAGTCACAGTTACACTCTAGGTAATACAGTAGGGTAATACTACAGAGATGTGAAACTTGTAGTCTGCGGGGTATATGCGGTCTTAACGCGGATTTTTTTGTGTCTGTTAGTACTCTAATAAAATATTTCTACCATAAACCAAAAAGGGAGGGGTAATACTGCGGTAGTGACCACTTCAAGCAGAAAATTTAAAAATTAACAACAACACAAAAACTGATGGTACTACAAAATGACAGACATTCGTCTACTAGTTAATTTTTTTCTTCTCTTGACTCTGGGTTAGAATTTCAAGATTGCCACACCCTATTCAAAACAGCTGTTTATCCGAGAGCTTAAAAAAACCTACCAGAGCCTATCTGGTATCTTCCGCTCCTCTAGGGTTATTTCAAGAACAGCCTCGCACCATCTAACATTGTGGAGGCCTTTCTCGGTTCGGTACCTTTACATATTTGCCCATGGTATCCATTGGCCTCATTTAGGTATTGCTACCATTATTCTTGGAGTCGGGATCGAATTCCTCGATTACACATAAATTGCACTATTAATTGTCTGTCAAGTCAATAATACGTTATGGACGTTTTAGGGTTTATATGTATTCGTACACGAGGAACTCTTTAACACCCCCCACGCCAAGAACACAACTTAGAACAATTAAGCCTTAGGCGTGTTTCTAACCTTCTCCAAGGCTATCTCACAAAGCCGATCTCACTTCGCCGTACTATGTGTACATATATTACGCTTGTACCTGGTATAGCGTAATAGGAATTGGATAAAACTAATATAACTAAAACTGACATTTTATGCCATGCAGTCTTTAATGTACTTTGCAGAGTTGGATATGTGTTCCTAAATTGCAAATTCACCATTCATTTTTATAGCATAAATGTAAACACAGTTACTTTGGAACAAAAAGACATCAGCATCTCACTCAACAATGAAATATTTTCTCAAAATTAACTAATTTTGCAGAAAATGTTGTCGAACATAATATTTACAGCACGTATCAAGTGAATAGTTTAGTTCACTTTCAGGTAATTCGCGTTAAGGAAATTGTGTTTTATCAAAAGACACGAAAAAAGATGAAAACGGTGGCTTTGGCCAAAATTCAGAGACGAAATATGTTATGCCTATCCAAATATAGTCTTTAATATTCCTGTGCCCCTTTTGGTGAGTTTCTCTCACGATAAGGTTGACGCATAAGTCGCTGTAACGTCTTGTGTAACCTACCAGCGGTAGGTTTATTAAGTTTAATTTGTTACGTTTAAAGATTTACGAATTTTCTTTACTAAACTATAGTATTAATGGCACGATTTCTGACGTTTGGACTTGTATTCTGTGTATAATGTTCATTTCAGCTGTAACTTTGTACATGAATCAGACGTTAGGTCCCTTAGTGCTGTTTTAAAGATCGGTGTAAACGGAGAAGAGAGATGCATATATGTTGCCGAAAATCGGGTTGTCTGTATGTACGTGTGTATGTATGATTTATATATGTATGGATATATTACCCAAACTCTGTCAGTTTAGAAGCAGCTTTTGTGTTCACTTGGTTGGTGATAGTGGTAGAAGATTTCAAATCTTCGCTTATATGGTGTTCCGAGACAGTTAATATCCGCAACGCACTGAAAGTCAAATAAGTTTGATTGCGAAAGAAGTGATGTTCATTTGTATCATTATGAATATTTTTGATATTCTACATTGAAGGTTTATTGGGAAACGTTAATGGTAAGGTGCAAAAGCGCAAATTATAACCAGATTAATGACTGTTAAATTGAAAAAATCAATTCAATTGTATGAAGTTAAATTGCCTGATACTCCTTATTTTATTTCTCAACTGCAAGCTTCCTTGTAACGATTGAAACCGGATGTAATCCACTTTCGCTATGTTGATTTTCAATGGATGGAGTCAATTACTTGTTTTATTAACGAACGAATTTGCACAACACTTTTGGTCCTTTTCTTCACTACTTAAAACTTCTTTTCATTTCATCATTTTTGATGATTCAGAATTAATACTGGTATATTAATTCAATACGTCAAAAGTCCTTGTAATCACAATCAATTTAATAAGCAATAAAAGGGAAAAATCATGATTATAATAGTAATTTTTGAAGTTTTACCTCTCGTTTATTAGTTTTGTATTCGCAAGAAAAATCATTTCAATGATCTAAACTTTTTCATTCTTTATTAATCTTCACACCGTGAGTGAGTTGATCACTGATATGTAATGCAACTCATTCTTTATGGATTTTAAAAAATAGCTGTAGTATTACAATTTTCTTAGACATTAGTCTACACATAATAATCCTTGTTTATTGAAAGTCTTATATCATGAAGGATCTCAAGCACTTCCCAACACGGATCTGGAGCTATATCGCCGTATTTTTACTGTTGTAACTTCTAGTCGCATATTAACCCGGCAATTATTCCTGGAGCTGTTCTCGCCCCCGGCGGCGGCGGAGGCGATGGGGGTGGTGGGGGTGGGGGTGGACGGAGTGGTAGTGCGCCGTTGCACTCGTTCGTGTGACCTTGAAGAAGGAAATTACTTGTGCGGCGTGCTCCAACTCCACGCACGGGGGCCTGTGAGGAGGAGAAGTAGAAGAAGAAGAAGGCGGCGTCGGACGGCGAAGACGCCAAATGCGTTTCGAGGCATTTCGCCACCGGCCGCCTTCACCGCAGCGGCGGGGGCGGAGGAGCCGCTCCTAATTGCAACCCCCGCCCCCGACGCGCCCAGGGCGGCGGGGGCGGCGGCGGCAGCGATGCATCTCAACGGCGGCGGGGGCGGGGGGCGGAGAAGCGCTCCCGATGGCGCAAGGCCTTGCTCCGCTGCGTCCGAAGATGTGAAGCAGGGTCGGGGGAAGAAGACAGCCAGCCGGGGTCTTCTCCACTATATAAAGTGGCTGATGCGTCGGGCCTAGCATCACACTCAGCTTGGGCTTTCGGACAGCAACATCTCAGGACACCACACAGCTTGAGTGCAACCATGGCGAAGGTAAATATGAGAATCTTCAGGGAGGCGGAGAACGTCAGTACCCTTCTAAGGGTTTCTGGGTACCAAGTAACGTTTTTTCGAGTTCGTTAAAAGTTGTATTCCAAAATGATCTCAAAACAGTTGTAAATAAATTTTGATTCAGCATAGTCAAAATTAGTTCGATTTTTTTATCATCAAGTCTGTGTTCTTTCAATAATAATATTCTAAATTTTCTGCTTTCAAGCAACCTCAAATTTGTTAAATATTATCTCAATATTATATGGGTACTTTTGCAAATAATATACATGATTTTGGTAAAGTAATTATCATTTTTACAACAACGAATATTGGAAAATTAAATTTCGTTTCCAGCCAAAAACATTTGTTTTAATTTCAGTATTTAGATGTGTATGTTAGATTACTAAGAGTGCCAGATATTATAAAACTTAAATTAATTATTTTTCTGAGCATTATTATTTATATATTATACACAAAATGCTTTCTAAAGACGTTAGTTTTGCAAGTAATATACAAATTTAATGAAATATGAGGACATTTTCCACATCGTTTCATTATTATAATTTTCTATCAGTTTTTTGAAATAAAACGTTCCAAATACATTGTTAATTCCAAAAATATTTGAATATTCAAAATTGTACTAATCAAAAATACATTACAGTTTCAAATTTTTTCTCTGCCTTTTGGCCAATATGTAGTTTCTCGCCCCCATTCCTCGTAGTCAATTCATTATTTGAAATTTTTTTCAATATTTAAAATACCATCATTTAGACATTACAAATTGCATTACAATTTAGTATTTCTCCACGTCGTATATCAAATGTTAACTTTCTCTCCTCTTGGGCAGTGGAATTGTTAATGTCAAAATGTATGAATTCTCAAATCTGCCCTATGTATACATGCATCACCATTTCGCAGTTTTCCACATCAAGGAAAACGTTTTACTTTCTTCCCCCCCGCCCCCCGAAACGTTGGCATCGGAGAGGAAGCATCACGCATGAAGGATCTGCTTAGCCACGTAACACTGACCCCGCGCGTTCGCTAAGCAGATCGTCCGCACGACGGGTTTCCTCAGAGGTCACTTCGTTTCTCAAGGTGCGCCGCGAATTCAGCTGCGCTTCTCCCCCCCCCCCGCGGGTGACGGACTGCTCTGAGCGAGGATCAGTACATAGCAATAAGGGGACTTTTTATGAAAAATTCTGTAGATACTCGGTATTCACAATGCAACATACTTTTAATAAGTACTGTAGACATTAAAATTTTACCTTAAGCATTATCTAAAATAGTTTTCGCAGAAAATGTATTCGATGTCCATTTTGCGTCGTTTCTTTCTTGTTTAAGCAAGTACTTCGCAAAGAAATTCGAAATACAAATCGCTTTTTAAATATAAATCTCAAAATTGCGAAATTTCTTTTTTTATTGAATCATTGTTTGTGGTAATACGTGACTTCGACATGTGTCGTAAAACATTAAAATCGTTCATGTAGAGCGCATGAGGTAATACGTTCACTGCTGGTCTTTGGGTAAGGGCGCATTGTAGGAGCTACGAGATCTTCTTAAGAGAACTGGACTGAAGAGTCAGCAAAGTGGGGTTTGTGAGTGAGTGTATGTAGTTCACTGTTTGCAAGGATGAGACGCCGGTCAATGGCAGATGAATGGCGTCAATAAGCTTCCTCATTTCAGCAGAAATTTCTTTTCCCGCGGTTAACCAAACAAGAATGAGATCGTGGTAGCCGAACGCGGTAGCCGAACGCGGTAGCCAAACGCGGTAGCCAAACGCGGTAGCCAAACGCGGTAGCCAAACGCGGTAGCCAAACGCAGTAGCCAAACAAATGCGGTAGCCAAACCTGAATGAGATACACATGTTCACAATCAAAATTGTTTCATAACAGATTATTAGTATATCTAGCAAAAGACAATCAAGTGAGGGGAAACGTGGTTCGTTCTTTGCAGTGAAATACTTGTCAAATAACGTCGCAAAGGAGAAAAGCATCTTCTATTCTCCCCAAAAGTCTTCATTTGAGATTTAATTAAGTCTTAAGTGGTAAAGATATAGAAGAGATCATTGAGTAATTTGCAGGATTTGTACAATTATTAGTCCTTATTTTATAAAGTAATTGTTAGTGAGAAGTCACTACTGCGTCAAACATTATGTAATTACGAGAAGGAATTCAAAATACATTTTAATTTTACCGAAACGTTCAAAATATGAAATATGACATAGAAAACATTTTTTGAACTTGATACTGAGTACATACTGGAAAAGTACCAACAAATCTTTTGCAACGTAGAACGTGCATCGTTGTGGTAGGTCGCAAATTAGCCCGTTGGTCAGTACGAGGTGAGCCTAGCGTTAGCCGACCCTCCCTCTGGTTCAACGTTTCATCGTCTAATTCGCTCCCCGTAATTCCGCGCCGCGGCCAGGGAACTCCGTCAGAAGCCCTGCTATTACGAGTGCAGGCCGCTCCCGCCCACTTTTCCCTCTGCGCCGCGTAACTGCCGGGGACTCCTCCGGAGGCCTTTCGTGCACTCTGCTAGGCCGCGCGCTTGTACGGCAAGCAAGAGGCGAATCGGTCGATTCTTTCTTGATATTGTTTGCAATCACGCGCGCAATGTTGCATTAAGGCACACCGTTACGAACTGAATGAAATCGTCGTAAAATTATCTTGCGTGATTTTGCTCCAATCTGTAACAGTTCGTCTTTGAACTCTGTGTAGGGGATTGTAAGTCCAGATTTTAGGTCAGTTGGTGAGTGAAACATATTTTTAAAAGCGAAAAATTCAATTATTTACGATCAAGAGTTTCCATTTAATTTACATAAAATAAACATATTAAAGCATGCCAAAGTTAAACATGTTTTTGTCTCAATAATATTGGATCAGGACGTTAGATCTTAAAATGTTTTAAAACGTCAGAAAGATTTTAGAAATAAAACGATTTCAAAATGTCGAATGTGCACAATAATTTCATGTTTATTCAATGCTCCCATTAGGTCTTTTAAAAATAATATTTCATATTACAGATAATTTATCCCATAGCTTTTCCGAGAAGTCCATTAGTCCACAGAAAAATTTCCTGTTCTCAACGCTTGAATAGAGATCTCCATAAGAGCTTTATGTGAAGAAGACAGGCTTGCAGTCTTCAAGGTCTAAGTTTTATTATATTTTTTGAAGTAGGCTTCAAGCGGGATGTCTTCATGGCTAATGCGTTTGGTGGTTGCGGAGGGTACCGGTTTCGAACGGAGCAATTGGCTGGAAGATATCTCGTAATCGAACTAGGCGAGTTCGAGTTGATAGTCAAGAGCAATTTCATAACTGCGACTTGGCGCGGAGATGAACCTTGTTACGATCCTCAACATGTCTAAAATTGCATTGCAATAGAATTGCACATAGATGCAACGAGGTGAACAAAGTCTTGTAAGTTACATCATATTTGACACTGAGCTCGTTTTTGTATTCGTGGTCAATTCATTTGTTAGTACTCATTATTTTATTGGCATTTATTTTGGATAGTGCATGTGAAAACTTGATGGGTCAGTTAATATTGAAATCCACGTAATTTAGTTGAAAACATTATTTCACCTTCAGAAAGAAATTCGTTGTAATAAATGTAAAAGTAAAATAATAGTTCATATTCATTTTGTACGACGATCGTTTTTATTGTTTGGTCATCGCTATAAACATAAAATATTTAGCTAATTTGTGATGAGAAGATGATAATGACATCAATTCGAATGAACGATTGTTCGTGTAGAAAAGGAATCTCACTTTCCCGCAACCATGCGCAGTGTGCTTATCGCCATGTAGAGCCAAAAGCATCTTCTCCAAAACCCCGATTTCCAAACGCATAGCAATAGGCTGGAGCTGTTTTCCTAATCGGAATAAACGCGTGTAGCCCGAGGGCAGGTCTTCTCGGGGGAAGCTCCGCATAATTAGACTCTCGGGTTGCGGCACCACGCGCGGTCCGCGGAACGAGCGGGGGGCGGGGGGGGGCGAGCAAGGCCTAGGAGGGCCGAGGGGGCCGTTCCAGATCGGGCGGCTAATTGCGGGCGTGCGCGTGACGCAAGCTGGCGTGTGGGCCGCAGATCTTGCTCCTGCTTGCGGTGGCCGCGGCCGTGTGCAGCGTGTTGGCCGAGCCTCCGGTGGACCGCACCTACCTTCCTCCGGGCTCCGGAGGATATTCCGGCGGCCCCGGCGGTCGGCCCTCGCCCGTGTACGGCGTGCCCGGCCGCGGCGGCGCGGGAGCACGCCTGGGCGGAGGACGCGGAGGATACAGCAACGGCGG